CCACAGACTTTGGACAGTTCATAGGTACATAATATGTTCCACATACTTTGGACAGTTCATAGGTACATAATATGTTCCACATACTTTGGACAGTTCATAGGTACATAATATGTTCCACAGACTTTGGACAGTTCAAAGGTACATAATATGTTCCACATACTTTGGACAGTTCATAGCTACAGAATATATTCCACAGACTTTGGACATTTCATAGCCAGCGCTTGTATAAAGCAAAAACGAAAACAAAAAAAACTGCCAACGAATAAAAAGTGTGACCTTATATTCTGGTAGGGGGATTGTAAACAGCCTTCTCCTGGTTCCGCCAAGGTTTCCTTGTGAAGGCTGAGCAACGCTTGCATGTCAGATGTTATCTGGGATTTTTCTAGTAAGAGCTGTCGCTGATCAGCTATCAGACCGTTTTTTAAATCGTTATTTTACAGTTACACAAGTATATAATTAAGCCTACACCTTACACCTCCTAATTCCGATCTATTCCAGCTTCTACGTTTCTCCTATTAGAAAACATTTAAGTCGACGAGCAGAAAAAATACACAGCGTAATTCCTTTGTGTTGAATCACCTACAAACATCATTGTGTCCAATGTTAGAATTCTAGCCCTGGGTTTTTGAGAGAAATGTTTCTAACAGTTATTATTGCCTTAATTTATCAACACATGTAAATAAGGTATTCAAGTTTAAAATTTTTGAGCAAAGCTACGCAACGGCATAGCTGTTCCCCAATTTTAAATTGATATCCTGGAGAGAAGACAGCTAGTCAAAAAGGACCCACCGCCAACCCTTGGGCTACTCTTGTCTGATCGAAAGTGAGATTTTACCGTGATTTTTATAGCATTCCCACAAACCCAAAGTCATGGCACAAGGCCACGCTCGGCACCTGTAATTAACAAAACTAAACAGGATGAATCTTACTCTATCTAGCTTTATTTCCTTTAAAAAAATATCACAGATGTATTGTTTGTGTTTAACTCATAACTAACCTAACATTTAGTGGTGTAGCCTAATTCATAATTAACCTAACATCCAGCAATGTAGCCTAACTCATAATTAACCTAACATTTAGTGGTGTAGCCTAACTCACAATTAACCTGACATCCAGCAATGTAGCTTAACTCATAATTAACCTAACATCTAATGGTGTATCCTAACTCATAAATAACCTAAGATCCAGTGGTGTAGCCTAACTCACAATTAACCTGAAATCCAGGGTTGTAGCCTAACTCATAATTAACCTAACATTTAGTGGTGTAGCCTAACTCATAATTAACCTGACATCCAGCAACGTAGCCTAACTCATAATTAACCTAACATCTAATGGTGTATCCTAACTCATAAATAACCTAAGATCCAGTGGTGTAGCCTAACTCACAATTAACCTGAAATCCAGGGTTGTAGCCTAACTCATAATTAACCTGGCATCTAATGGTGTAGCCTAACTCATAACTAACTTAAAATCTATCAGTGTAGCCTAACTAATAACTAACCTGACATCAAATGGTGTAGCATAACAAATAATTAACTTGACATCCAGCAATGTAGCCTAACTCATAATTAACCTAACATTTAGTGGTGTAGCCTAACTCACAATTAACCTGACATCCAGCAATGTAGCTTAACTCATAATTAACCTAACATCTAATGGTGTATCCTAACTCATAATTAACCTGACATCTAATGGCGTAGCTTAACTCATAATTAACTTAACATCTATCGGTGTAGTCTAACTAATAATTATCCTGACATCCAGTAGTGTAACCTAACTCAAAATTACCCTGAAATCCAGGGTTGTAACCTAACTCATAATTAATCTGACATTTAGCGGTGTAACCTAATTAATAATTATCTTGACATCCAGTAGTGTAGCCTAACTAATAATTAACCTAACAACTATTGGTGTAGCCTAACTCATAATTAACCTAACAACTAGTGGTGTAGCCTAACTCATAATTAACCTGACATCAAGTGGCGTAGCCTAACTCATAATTAACCTGACATATAATGGTGTAGCCTAACTCATAATTAACCTGACATATAATGTTTGTTACAACGTTGTCTTTAATAACGGAAACGTGTTTGTTACAACGTTGTCTTTAATAACGGAAACGTGTTTGTTATAACGTTGTCTTTAATAACGGAAACGTGTTTGTTACAACGTTGTCTTTAATAACGGAAACGTGTTTGTTATAACGTTGTCTTTAATAACGGAAACGTGTTTGTTATAACGTTGTCTTTAATAACGGAAACGTGTTTGTTACAACGTTGTCTTTAATAACGGAAACGTGTTTCTTAGAATGTTGCTTTAATAACAAGAACATGTTTGTTACAACGTTGTCCTTAGTAACGGAAACCTATTTGTTAGAATGTTCTCTTTAATACGTGTTTGTTATACGCGACTTAATCCTGACTTTTAACAAGAATAACGAGTATGTGTTTTAAACGATTCTGATTTGAATACCAGGAACTACTTTTTATGTCTGAGTCATGCACGTTTCCTTTCTAGAATAACTAGAGTTACATTGTATTGAGATATGGCTTTGGAGTAAAGTGAACAGTTGGTATTAACACACATACGCTAGGACTAATTACTGCACCTGTAACTGACGATGTGAAACAGAGCGGGGGTGGGGGTAAGAAATGTTACCCCACGATGACAAAGCAGGTTTAAAAATGTTTATTTATCAAACGTTGCTTATCACGCTCTTTAATGATATCGAACTAGCTTCCATCGTGATGTAAAACGTCTTAAGCCTACGAAATGTGGTAACATGTCATTTTAGGAAGGAGGCCACCGGTTGGCCCTATTGTAGCGCTCTAGATTTCGGCGCTGGCGAGCCCGGGTTTGAATCCGTGCAATATCACAAAATATCCCCCTCCCCATTTAAGCTGCGACTGTGTTATAAGAGCGATGGTAGGGTGCTATTAAATGGGTGCCTTTTGTCTGGTTAATAGTTCAATGGGAAATATCTTTAGTAGTAGAAATACAGGCATTTTTGAAAATAATTACAATTTACTGATAGGACAAGACACGAGTAAACTTCTTAAAATTAATATTCGAGAATCTTATCAAGCTCAACTTCAAATTCCCGTGCTTTCAAAAAATAATTTTACTAAGTAATATTATATTTAAATATATATATATAATTATTTCTTTTACAACAAACTCAAAAGTAAATCCGAAAAAAGCGCATATTCTACTACTTATAATTAACGTATTATTAATTATGTTATTAATGATAATACTACAATAGAACTTCTCGCGTGAAAATGAAGTTAAAATTAGTCTGTAGAAATTCATTCTGGTATTTAAACTTACGTCAGCTTTTTGTAAATCTTCGTAGATAATTTGGCTTAAGTACAAGTACTTGAAATCAATGGTTTGTTTGTTTTTTAATTTCGCGCAAAGCTACGCGAGGGCTATCTGCGCTAGCCGTCCCTAATTTAGCAGTGTAAGACTAGAGGGAAGGCAACTAGTCACCATCACCCACCGCCAACTCTTGGGCTACTATTTTACCAACGAATAGTGGGATTGACCGTCACATTATAACGTCCCCACGGCTGAAAGGGCGAGTATGTTTGGTGGGACGGGGATTCGAACCCGCGACCCTCAGATTGCGAGTCGAGCGCCTTATCCCCCTGGCCATGCCGGGCCTAAAATCAATGGAAGAACACAATGCCACCTATAATATAGCAGATAATAACGTCGACAGGAGTCTCCTGAAACAAGTAAACATTTCTGGGATCAAAGACCCGATTAAGCCTTACTGCTGGTAATTTACCATTCGAAATTTCTCTTCTTCACGGATTAGAACGCCAAAGGAGACTCGTGTATAGTTATGTACTCTAAAGGTCAACCAGCGCGAACTCTCACCGAGAAACTGCTGGTACTGATTGCTAGGCTTAGTCTCAATCGGCTCCTGAAACGCGTCACTTTACGTAAACAAAACTTCTTATAACGCAGGTAAAATACGACGTCATTTCAAGATCACACACATAAAAACATGAAAAACGTCATATTCAGTAATTTAGACGTTGGCGATAATAATTACAAAAATAAAATGCGATAATACCACACACACACACACACAAACAACAACATAATTTGAAGCAGCTTCGATTGGTTTGTTGTTAAGCGCTGTGCTACACAATGGGCTATCTGTGTTTTGCCTCAAGAGTTTCGAAACCCGATTTTTTGCGTTATTTTACCGCCATCAAGATACATCACTACTAATGTTTTATTATCACTATTTACTCAATGTTAAAAGTAACACCATTACAGAGTAAATTATTCCCACAAAGATACACATATTTGTATTTTGTTAGTTAGTTGTTAAGCACAATGTTACACAAGGGGGGTGCTATCTGTGCTGTACACACTGCAGGTATCAAAACTCGAATTTTAGCGTTATACGTCCTCGGGCTCATCACTAAGCCTTATATCTTATTCACCAAACTAAATATTTGCCCTGTACATCAGTTTACCAACTTACTACAAGAAAAAAAAACAGTGATATTTGAAACATGCTATATTTTATTGGGTAAACATCTGTTTCGAAACCAACATTCAAGCTGGCACGTTTCATATTTGATCCAACACCATTAAAACAAAACCTAAACCATCGAGCTCCTTTAGAGCGAGTCTTACAGAGTGGGCGTGAATGGTTCAGAAGATGTCCTAATGCAAGAGATGGATGTACACTTCCGCAAGATGTAACAAACGTCCGTGTTGTTTATCGTTCTAGCTACATCCAAAATGAACGTCTATTTCTCGTGAAAGTTAAATGTCCGAAAGAGAAATTTATGAATAATTTTGTAGCACTAACTCGCCCCCCTAGTGGCTAAGCGGGTAACTATTCGGACATTGCCTACGAAACCCCAAACAATGTCAAAATGCACGATATCGGTGTTGGTTGTTAGGTGACTCGCTGATTTGCATATACTCACACCTCAGTAGCACAGCGTATCATCATTTTTTTACTCAAATACGTTTTTTACAGCTTGATATATTTTTGTAATTTTTTCCCGCTATGCCTCGCGGCTAAATACCTTCTGACTGAAATGTTTTTGTAAACAGCTTCACATGTGAAATATTTAGACGGTTACTGAGACAACGGGGTTGTTCTAATGTGAGTTACTTTATAAAATCGTCATCTCAACACACTTTAATACTGAAATTCTAATAAAAACACCTCGATAGTGAAGTAAACATCTTACTGTAGAAATGTTCATGTAATACCTCGATATTAGGCTACTCACGTAGACATCTTACTGTAGAAATGTTCGTGTAATACCTCGATATTAGGCTACACACGTAGACATCTTACTGTAGAAATGTTCATGTAAATACCTCGATATTAGGCTACTCACGTAGACATCTTACTGTAGAAATGTTCATGTAAATACCTCGATATTAGGCTACTCACGTAGACATCTTACTGTAGAAATGTTCGTGTAATACCTGGATATTAGGCTACTGACGTAGACATCTTACTGTAGAAATGTTCATGTAATACTTCCATATTAGGCTACTCACGTAGACATCTTACTGTAGAAATATTCATGTAATACCTCGATATTAGGCTACTCACGTAGACATCTTACTATAGAAATGTTCATGTAGATACCTCGATATTAGGCTACTCACGTAGACATCTTACTGTAGAAATATTCATGTAATACCTGGATATTAGGCTACTCACGTAGACATCTTACTGTAGAAATGTTCATGTAAATACCTCGATATTAGGCTACTCACGTAAACATCTTACTCTAGAAATGTTCATGTAATACTCGATATTAGGCTACTCACGTAGACATCTTACTATAGAAATGTTCTTGTAATACCTCGATATTAGGCTACTCACGTAGACATCTTACTGTAGAAATGTTCATGTAATACCTCGATATTAGGCTACTCACGTAGACATCTTACTGTAGAAATGTTCTGTAATACCTCGATATTAGGCTACTCACGTAGACATCTTACTGTAGAAATGTTCATGTAATACCTCGATATTAGGCTACTCACGTAGACATCTTACTGTAGAAATGTTCATGTAATACCTCGATATTAGGCTACTCACGTAGACATCTTACTGTAGAAAATTTCATGTAATACCTCTATATTTGGCTACTCACGTAGACATCTTACTATAGAAATGTTCGTGAAGACACTCTAATACCGAGATATTAGGCTACTGACGTAGACATCTTACTGTAGAAATGTTCATGTAAATACCTCGATATTAGGCTACTCACGTAGACATCTTACCATAGAAATGTACGTGTAAACACTCTAATACCGAGATATTTACCACAAATACCACTGTTAAAAACCCTGTCACGATCAGGCGTACATTTCGTTATTAAATAACTTGGGAGCTGTTGGAAAGATTGAAAGCAACTTAAGCAACTGGTTAGGTCACACCCTATTGTCCGTGTATTATGGACACGGACATGTCATCTTGAGAGCACTTAATTCTAAACGTGTAAAATATACACTTCTAATATCATACATGTGTAAAATATACACTTCTAATATCATACACGTGTAAAATATACACTTCTAATATCATACACGTGTAAAATATACACTTCTAATAACATACACGTGTAAAATATACACTTCTAATATCATACACGTGTTCCAAGAGTAGTAAGATACTAATTATTAATTTACCTGGTTCATATGTTCCAAGTGTAGTAAGAGACTAATTACTAATTTACCTGGTTGATATGTTCCAAGTGTAGTTCCACTTTCTGTTTGGCTTCTTTTATTGTCTCCTTGTCTCGATGATGAAATGGCGTCACTTTATAAAGGCGGGTTAGGAGCAACGGATATCTTCATTTCACAGAATAAATAGATATTAGGTCACACTGCTACCATTTACCTTTCAAATGACAAGAGTTAATGAAATAAGGAAAACAATTTAAATGCTGTATTGCCACCACAAACATGTACTTGTTTTATTACTATTATGTTACGAAACCGTTTCTCGCAAACACTACAAAAGAATGAATTGAGTGTCTTGTAATACGTTTTGTAACTATCCACGAAACATTTGTGGAAAATGACGCAAACAACAATCTGGCTTACGTCATTCACTTGTAACAATATTCGGAAATATGGCGGCTGTTACGAGAAAAACGACAGTATTTTTAAATCAACAATATTTTCCCAAACTATTCTAAGGTTACTTCTTCACACGAACAATAATTTCTTTACATTTTTCAACCAGCTTCTAGAATACTCTTCTCGCCATCTTGTGAGCAAATGAACTTAAATCGTTAGATGTCTAAATTTATTTATTTAAGACACACTCATCTCATTGCCTCGTATCCTAAGAACCATTTCACAATTTGTTCTCAAAATAAAACGTCTCTTAAATAATAAACACGTAAAGTTATTTGTTCTCAAGTGTGCTGGAATGTTCTGCTCAGAAAACTAAAATAAAAAGTTGTTGAAATAATAAACATAGTTCTTCGTCAGTTGTGACGAAAAAAACGTTTCATTAAACACTGAATACAAACTGTGGCTCCGAGTATTTGAGGTGATACACATTAAAATGTGTTATATGTGTTATAGTAATCACTATTATTTTTCTTTAAAGAAAAATATATTAAAACGCTTAATGTTGCATTATTGACTCCACCCTAATCGCTCGCCCAATAATTTAGAAAACGCTGTGGTACGAATTCGACCGTGTTGGTGGGCAATTCAGATTCCACATATCGAAAGTTAAATTATTTTATTCAGAATTCAAAAATTGGAAAGTTTTGTTTGGGAATTAGCCCACCAAAACGTTTCCCTGAAACGTTCACAAAAGTATGATATAAAACCTTATAATGGTTAAATAACATGAAGCCTCAAAATTCATCATGGGTGAAACAAACATACTTGGTAACTCTTTGAAGAGGGACTATGAGGAAAAAAGACAAACATACTTGGTGACTCTTTGGAGAGGGATTATGAGGAAAGAAGACAAACATAACTTGGTAACACTTTGGAGAGGGACCATGAGGAAAGAAGACAAGCATAACTTGGTAACACTTTGAAGAGGGACCATAAGGAAAGAAGACAAACATACTTGGTGACACTTTGAAGAGGGACTATGAGGAAAGAAGACAAACATACTTGGTAACTCTTTGGACAGGGACCATGAGGAAAGAAGACAAAGATACTTGGTAACACTTTGGAGTTGAGCCATGAGGAAAGAATACAAACATACTTGGTAACACTTTGGAGAGGAGCCACGAGGAAAGAAGACAAACATACTTGGTAACTCTTTGGAGAGGGACCATGAAAAAAAGAAGACAAACATACTTGGTCACACTTTGAAGAGAGACCATGAGGAAAGAAGACAAACATACTTGGTAACTCTTTGAACTGGAACCATGAGGAAAGAAGACAAACATACTTGGTAACTCTTTGGACAAGGATCATGAGGAAAGAAGACAAACATACTTGGTGACACTTTGAAGAGAGACCATGAGGAAAGAAGACAAACATACTTGGTAACTCTTTGAACTGGAACCATGAGGAAAGAAGACAGGTTCATTCGACGAAGAAGAATATTTTCCATTTGAGAGACTCTCAGGAAGATACGTAGCAGCTCCTTTTCTTTCTCCAGATTGTGGAGCAACAACGACGACGGACCCTAAGAAGTAAAAAAACATAAATTTAGAAAATATTCTAAAATTACTTTTGATTTTTATGGCTTTTATAGCGCAATAATAAGGTTTTCACAATGACATATATTTTTGTAATTTTCCTCAATATTTTTCTTTTATAGAAATGTTATTGTAAAAACCTTCATGATAAAATATCAAATTGTTAATTTTTATTGAGACAACGCTGAAATGGTGGTGTTAATTACCTTAGTGGTGAAGTATTTCATATAAATATATTTTAATACTGAAATGTTCATACATAGCACCTCGATATTGGTTTGTTCATGTAAAAACCTCGACATTGCAAAAGAGGAATAGTTAATTTTTTACTTCTTAGTCTAAAAATTCATTATGCAACGTTACATTTTAAAATCATGAGTGAGAACTAGGGCTTAAGAATTCATTACAGAACATGCTGAACAGCTATTTGATACCGTTTCTGTAAAGGTTCCAAGTTAAGAACATTACAGAACATGCTGAACAGTGGAACCTTTACAGAAACGGTATCAAATAGAGTTAAGAACATTACAGAACATGCTGAACAGTGGAACCTTTACAGAAACGGTATCAAATAGAGTTAAGAACATTACAGAACATACCGAACAGTGGAACCTTTACAGAAACGGTATCAAA